GGAGTGGAGTGACTAAGTGGGAAGGAGTTGGGTGGATCGCTGGAAGAAATGAATCCATATCAAAGTGTGCATGACAAATTGCGGGTTTGGCACTTGGACTGCTCCACATCCCTTGCTAAACCAAGAAAAAAACATGAAAAAAATCAAGCTTGCTACCACTAGCTTTCGTGACAAGACATTGTTCAAACCCACTGCCTCTGCCTCGACTGGCTCAGGAGGGCCCTGCAATGAGCACAGGCAGAAAGCAAATCCTGTGGGCTAAATTATGAAATGTTAATGTTTCATTGCTTCACTGTGACCATTTGCCGCATCAACACCTCCAATGCATTGTGATTCAGAGACACTGAGCGGCAACAACTGCGGCAATGATGAGGGAGCAAAATGTCGTTGAACCATGTTGAACCCTTCCACTTTGCAACACAACTTTTGACTGCTTGGAAAGACCTTGTTCAAACACTGCACCTGCCTCGGCAATCACTTCAGAAAGTGGCAACACCTGCCGGAAGCCAAGCTCTAAGGATTCCAAGGTATGGCATTCAGAAATTCAATGCTTCAACATGTTTCAATGATTTTCAATGTATGTTTCACTTGCACCAGGTGGCATGTTAAGGTTTCGGGTTCCTTTATGTTCAGCTGGAACTACTGGTTGATGATGGGCATGAGTTATGAGCAAAATACCATGGGGAAAGGTCCAAACTTGAGTCCTTGAGGGTTGGTAAACGAAAGGCCAAGAAAAAAGATGTGGGAGCGGAGAAGGCATAGAAAGCCATGGGCGCTAGCAATGAGAAGGGAGATGCGAAGGGTAGCGTGGAGGAAGGTGGCAAGATGGTCAGAGCAAGGTGGAGTGGAGTGACTAAGTGGGAAGGAGGTGGGTGGATCGCTGGATGAAATGAATCCATATCAAAGTGTGCATGACAAATTGCGGGTTTGGCAATTGGACTGCTCCACATCCCTTGCTAAAGCAAGAAAAAAACATGACAAAAATCAAGCTTGCTACCACTAGCTTTCGTGACAACACATGGTTCAAACCCACTGCCTCTGCCTCGACTGGCTCAGGAGGGCCCTGCAATGAGCACAGGCAGAAAGCAAATCCTGTAGGCTAAATTATGAAATCTTAATGTTTCATTGCTTCACTCTGACCATTTGCCGCAGCAACACATTCTAATGCATTGTCCTTCAGTGACACTCAGTGACAACAACTGCGGCAATGATGCGGGAGCAAAATGTCGTTGAACCATGTTGAACCCTTCCACTTCGCAACACAACTTTTGACTGCTTGGAAAGACCTTGTTCAAACACTGCACCTGCCTCGGCAATCACTTCAGAAAGTGGCAACACCTGCCGGAAGCCAAGCTCTAAGGATTCCAAGGTATGGCATTCAGAAATTCAATGTTTCAACATATTTCAATGATTTTCAATGTATGTTTCACTTGCACCAGGTGGCATGTTAAGGTTTCGGGTTCCTTTATGTTCAGCTGGAACTACTGGTTGATGATGGGCATGAGTTATGAGCTAAATACCATGGGGAAAGGTCCAAACTTGAGTCCTTGAGGGTTGGTAAACGAAAGGCCAAGAAAAAAGATGTGGGAGCGGAGAAGGCATAGAAAGCCATGGGCGCTAGCAATGAGAAGGGAGATGCGAAGGGTAGCGTGGAGGAAGGTGGCAAGATGGTCAGAGCAAGGTGGAGTGGAGTGGCTAAGTGGGAAGGAGTTGGGTGGATCGCTGGATGAAATGAATCCATATCAAAGTGTGCATGACAAACTGCGGGTTTGGCAATTGGACTGCTCCACATCCCTTGCTAAAGCAAGAAAAAAACATGAAAAAAATCAAGCTTGCTACCACTAGCTTTCGTGACAACACATTGTTCAAACCCACTGCCTCTGCCTCGACTGGCTTAGGAGGGCCCTGCAATGAGCACAGGCAGAAAGCAAATCCTGTGGGCTAAATTATGAAATCTTAATGTTTCATTGCTTCACTATGACCATTTGCCGCAGCAACACATTCTAATGCATTGTGCTTCAGTGACACTCAGTGACAACAACTGCGGCAATGATGAGGGAGCAAAATGTCGTTGAACCATGTTGAACCCTTCCACTTTGCAACACAACTTGTGACTGCTTGGAAAGACCTTGTTCAAACACTGCACCTGCCTCGGCAATCACTTCAGAAAGTGGCAACACCTGCCGGAAGCCAAGCTCTAAGGATTCCAAGGTATGGCATTCAGAAATTCAATGTTTCAACATGTTTCAATGATGTTCAATGATTTTCAATGTATGTTTCACTTGCACCAGGTGGCATGTTAAGGTTTCGGGTTCCTTTATGTTCAGCTGGAACTACTGGTTGATGATGGGCATGAGTTATGAGCAAAATACCATGGGGAAAGGTCCAAACTTGAGTCCTTGAGGGTTGGTAAACGAAAGGCCAAGAAAAAAGATGTGGGAGCGGAGAAGGCATAGAAAGCCATGGGCGCTAGCAATGAGAAGGGAGATGCGAAGGGTAGCGTGGAGGAAGGTGGCAAGATGGTAAGAGCAAGGTGGAGTGGAGTGACTAAGTGGGAAGGAGTTGGGTGGATCGCTGGAAGAAATGAATCCATATCAAAGTGTGCATGACAAATTGCGGGTTTGGCAATTGGACTGCTCCACATCCCTTGCTAAAGCAAGAAAAAACATGAAAAAAATCAAGCTTGCTACCACTAGCTTTCGTGACAAGACATTGTTCAAACCCACTGCCTCTGCCTCGACTGGCTCAGGAGGGCCCTGCAATGAGCACAGGCAGAAAGCAAAATCCTGTGGGCTAAATTATGAACTCTGAATGTTTCATTGCTTCACTCTGACCATTTGCCGCAGCAACACATTCTAATGCATTGTGCTTCAGTGACACTCAGTGACAACAACTGCGGCAATGATGAGGGAGCAAAATGTCGTTGAACCATGTTGAACCCTTCCACTTCGCAACACAACTTTTGACTGCTTGGAAAGACCTTGTTCAAACACTGCACCTGCCTCGGCAATCACTTCAGAAGTGCTGCAAAACACCTGCAGAAGCAAGCTCAAGGATTCAGGTATTGCATCAGAATTCAACAAATGTTTCAATTTATGTTTCACTTGCACCAGGTGGCATGTTAAGGTTTCGGGTTCCTTTATGTTCAGCTGGAACTACTGGTTGATGATGGGCATGAGTTATGAGCAAAATACCATGGGGAAAGGTCCAAACTTGAGTCCTTGAGGGTTGGTAAACAAAAGGCCAAGACAAAAGATGTGGGAGCGGAGAAGGCATAGAAAGCCATGGGCGCTAGCAATGAGAAGGGAGATGCGAAGGGTAGCGTGGAGGAAGGTGGCAAGATGGTCAGAGCAAGGTGGAGTGGAGTGACTACGTGGGAAGGAGTTGGGTGGATCGCTGGATGAAATGAATCCATATCAAAGTGTGCATGAGAAATTGCGGGTTTGGCAATTGGTCTGCTCCACATCCCTTGCTAAAGCAAGAAAAAAACATGAAAAAATCAAGCTTGCTACCACTAGCTTTCGTGACAAGACATTGTTCAACCCACTGCCTCTGCCTCGACTGGCTCAGGAGGGCCCTGCAATGAGCACAGGCAGAAAGCAAAATCCTGTGTGCTAAATTATGAAATCTTAACGTTTCATTGCTTCACTCTGACCATTTGCCGCAGCAACACATTCTAATGCATTGTGCTTCAGTGACACTCAGTGACAACAACTGCGGCAATGATGAGGGAGCAAAATGTCGTTGAACCATGTTGAACCCTTCCACTTCGCAACACAACTTTTGACTGCTTGGAAAGACCTCGTTCAAACACTGCACCTGCCTCGGCAATCACTTCAGAAAGTGGCAACACCTGCCGGAAGCCAAGCTCTAAGGATTCCAAGGTATGGCATTCAGAAATTCAATGTTTCAACATGTTTCAACATGTTTAAATGGTTTTCAATGATATTCAATGATTTTCAATGTATGTTTCACTTGCACCAGGTGGCATGTTAAGGTTTCGGGTTCCTTTATGTTCAGCTGGAACTACTGGTTGATGATGGGCATGAGTTATGAGCAAAATACCATGGGGAAAGGTCCAAACTTGAGTCCTTGAGGGTTGGTAAACGAAAGGCCAAGAAAAAGATGTGGGAGCGGAGAAGGCATAGAAAGCCATGGGCGCTAGCAATGAGAAGGGAGATGCGAAGGGTAGCGTGGAGGAAGGTGGCAAATGGTCAGAGCAAGGTGGAGTGGAGTGACTAAGTGGGAAGGAGTTGGGTGGATCACTGGAAGAAATGAATCCATATCAAAGTGTGCATGACAAATTGCGGGTTTGGCACTTTGACTGCTCCACATCCCTTGCGAAAGCAAGGCAAAAAGATGAAAAAATCAAGCTCGCTATCACTAGCTTTTGTGACAAGACATTGTTCAAACCCACTATCTCTGCCTCGACTGGCTCAGGAGGGCCCTGCAATGAGCACAGGCAGAAAGCAAAATCCTGTGGGCTAAATTATGAAATCTGAATGTTTCATTGCTTCACTCTGACCATTTGCCGCATCAACACCTCCAGTGCATTGTGCTTCAGTGCCACTCAGTGACAAAAACTGTGGCAATGATGAGGGAGTAAAATGTCGTTGACCCATGTTGAACCATGTTGAACCCTTCCACTTCGCAACACAACTTTTGACTGCTTGGAAAGACCTTGTTCAAACACTGCACCTGCCTCGGCAACTTCAGACCCAGGTGACGCTTCAAATTCCGCCACCTGCAGAAAGAAAGAAAGTGCTTGAAGGATCCGAAGGTATTGCATTCAGAGTCTCAATGTTTCAATATATGCAATGCCAAAACTTGGCATTTCGCGATGACCATGCACTGCATCAACGCCTACCACCTTTTTCGGGTAGTTGGAAAATTTGTTTTGATGATGAAACTCCCGCCATATGGTACTGGTACTAGGCCACTTTGAGACCCAATCATGACTGATCCCAACAAGATCTTTCTCAAATCCACTCTCTCCCCGCCTCCGCCTTGATTACCGCAGGCTTCTTTGCTGCTTGCAACGCATCAAAGTGCGCAATGGCCGCCAGCATCCCCGATCCCGGCGTGTCCTTCGGTTGATCCTTCATCTTCCTGCCCTCCGCCTCCAGTTCGGCCAGGTGTCGCTGCTGCAGCGCCTGGCTTTTGCCATCAACCATCCTCCATCCCAGGAGCCGCGGGTCATCCCGCGAGCGCGCGGTGACGGGGAATCTCATGCCGTACACCGACGCCGCCGTGGCTGAATCCATGGCCGCGATTCAGCTGGAGACACCTTGGTTCAGCTGCTGAGCACGTTGATGTCAACGTGCTCAGCAGCTGAGCCAAGGTGTCTCCAGGCGACTGAGGACAATGATGGACTCCATGTGATGAATCTGAGCCGCCCATAGCCACAACCAAGCTATCATGTCGTAAGGCGTAAGGTATCTGCAGGATAAGAAATCAGAGGAAGTGTCAACTTGTAAGCTTGCAGCTCAGAACAGCCTCTGCCAAGAATTGGTTGGGGCCAAGTCAGGTGACAACAACATGCTGAAGTATCATGAAAATTCATGAAATATGTTGAATACTTGATATCGATGAGAGCGACTCAACGGCAACCTTCGGAGCTAAATGACCCAATCCACCCTTGGCCCGAACCTCGCATGTCTTGAACATTCTGACTGGGCGAGTCACACTTCATCCAAAATCATCCAAAACTGATATCACAGGTATCTCTTGGATTCGCTTCGTCAAATTCCGGGAAAGGCCCCAAAAACGCTAGGCTTTCCAAAGGCCCTCTGCTGCGATTTTTCGGTTCAAAACATGCCCCCGGGTAAGGGATGGGTTGAAAAGCTATGTTATGAATCATTCCATGATGCCATGTCTTGAGGGACGAACATCCACAACTACATTTAGCTACATGAAACATGATGAAACCAATCATAGGGTGTTGACCTCTTGGGAAGCGATGAAAATCTGTTCCTCCCAATTTTCGGTCGGTCATTCGGAAAGCTCCGTGAAACATGGCGATGGCGAATTGGTTTCTTGGCTTTACCACATTACTTGACATTACTATCAATAACTGGTTGGTGGTATACCTACCCCTCTGAAAAATATGAAAGTCAGTTGGGATGATTCTTCCCAATATATGGAAAAATAAATGTTCCAAACCACCAACCACATTACCATCAATAAATCTTAAGCTCAAATAACCATCACCACAACTGTTGGCTTTTTCGTTGGGATCCCGGGGTCCGTTGGCAGGCACCAAAAAGTGCCAAGCAGTCGAATGCCAAGCAGTCGAAACTGTCTCAAACTTCGCAAACTCAACGAGGAGTTTGCTTCCGCTGCTTAGTGGGCGCAATTCCGTTGCAAGTCATTTGAGGGTTGAGCCATGAGCATCTATGAGCTATGAGCTGCACGAGCCGCGAGCGGCATGAGTCTGGACAAACCCTGTCATTTTTTTTAACTACAGTACTTCGCCTGAAATCATCGGCCATTTCTGGTAACTACTGGAGTAAGCATCATTGCATCACCCAGAAAAACCTTCGCACCGTAAGCCATTTCTCTCAGTCCTTCAATGCTGGTGGGCATCTCCTTAGGGGACCGTTGCGAAACCACTGGAAGGATGGAGGCTTTACACGGAAGTGTTTTAGGACATGTTGATACACTTTGCACATTGGAAAGATTGAAAGATGAAAGATGTGCAAGTGGTGATTGTTTTATTTTCTGTGCAAACATTTACAAGAAAACAAATGCGAAGTGCAAGTGGAAGTAAAACGGAAAAAGATTGAAAGAAAAAACAACAACTTCACAGATGGTTTTACTTGTAATATGTTCTGCTTCTTCAGAATTGGATGAAAGATGATGAAAGGAACATATGAAAATACGCAAGAAAAAATATATATATATATACAATAGCAAATGGTTTGTTGGAAACCACCAAGCACTGCAAGGGTTGACCACATATCAGTGAACTAGACTCTAAGGTCTGACACTTTAGAAAACCCTGCTGATGTACCAGAAAAAACTCTCCAATGTCAGTACGGCTCAATGTCTGAATTTCTCTGAAAATGTGGTATCCCCTAAAAAAAAAACCTGGTTCTCGGCATACCCCACTTTCAGACACATCCATATATCATATATAATCATATATATACTGTAATCATATATATACTGTAATCATATATATATATTATATATTCATATATGGTTTTTATAGGTCTCATATCCATCTGGTTGCTGGTTGAGCCCTACCCCTCTGAAAAATGATGGAGTGAGTTCGTCAGTTGGGATGATGACATTCCCAATATGATGGGAAAGTCATTCAAAATTCCATGGTTCCAGTCACCACCAACCAGCATTTATTGCTGGGGCTTTCCCCATATGACGACGCCACGATTTTTTTCTGTTTGGATCAGACCATTCAGTGGCTTATCCCATATGTAGATGGCGAAAAAAAAACTATAGTCAGTACTGTACCCTCTGGCAAACATTGGCAGTTTGCTAAAATCAGCATTTTTGCTAAATCAACAAATGTACCAAACTTCTTATGGGCCATTGATGGCCATTGTCAATAGCAAAATCTGGAAAAATACCGCTACAAGCACCACATCTTTTCAGGATCCTCCAAGTCTTGCCACGTTCCCTGGGAGGCCAGGCGCTACTTGGATATGAACCACCTGCCATGGCGCGAATTTTTTTCGGTCGCGGCGCCGGAGAATGGGTCAAAACGTAAGACCTGCAGGATGGGGCCCCCGTTAGCGTTCAGATGCCTTTTCAGTGGCTGAATTCTATGGTTTATGGTAGATAAGACTATAAATGGCTTAGTACTATAGATTTAACCATGGTTTATAAACCAACATTCACATTACCGGGGGGCACCATCCTGTGGGGGACCATAGATTTGCCACGAGTTGAGGTTTGGCGTTTTAACCATGGTGCCCAACATGAAGTTGTTGGATAATGTTGGATATAACCTCTGCAACTATGATATTTATATGGATATAACATGATATAACCGTTGTATAACCTCTGCAACTATGGTTGCATCTCCACGAATTGAAAAAATCGGAGCACCATCCCCAGGTTCCCACCACGTTCTCCAAAACCATCGCTTTGAAATCCGCGAAATCTGCCAGAGACACCAGGGATTGCAACAAATGTTCCTTCATCTTATCGATGGTTGAGTTGCCATTCACTGAGACGATGTAATCCTCAGGGATTACCTGGCGGATGGTGAAACCACCCGGAAAACTTGATGCAAAATGATAAGATCAATGGGATTTTACCATTGAACATGTGGATTTCCATGGGGAAAATGGCTTTTGAATGCTGATTTTTTCCCAAGTTTTGAAGATTGATCATCACTTTTTTCAAGATTTTTCATCAATGGGGCTTGGTTTGTTAGGGAAAATCTTGACCGGAAGCAATGGTAACAGCATGAAATATCGAGGGGGTCATGTTATATGGTTCCCACCAATCCAATGATAATCGTGATGGAACTTACTGAATGATGGTTTCACCACTTTCAAAGGATGTAGAGTCTTTTTGAAGCACAATTATGCGTACATATATTATATATATACACTGTATATATTTACTAATTGTGTGGTGTTAATTGTTTGTTCCATCTTTGAAGAACAGAGATTCTGAGATTATTTCCAACACAAGTGATCCGCATCGAGCGCATCAAGGGCTTGGATGGCTTTTTTCTTTTATTCATATTGTAGCAACGCCCAAAAAAGGATAGAAAAGCAAACTCCTACTGCTGATCAATCCCATTTCCATCTTTTTGGGACTTCTTTCATACTCCAAGAATTTCCCCGGGAGACGGACCTCAGACTAGGGGGATCGCACCTGTTTTCACCGAAATAAAAGAAAGAGTCCAGGAGGTACCTGCCGTCCCTCAAGTTTTGTCGAAACAAATCTGCAGAATCCTCCCTGGAGACAAGAGCACTTTCGAGGCAGTAGGTTTCGGGTCGTCCTTTTTAGCTGATAAGCCAATAGCTGGTGGTAAAGCCAATAACTGATAACCATCTCCATCTCTTCAGGAGATGTTTAGCTTCTATGAACCAAAAAAAGGATGTTTATGATTGGCTTTGACCACAGCAGATAAGCCATCAACATCCATGGAAACCCTTAAAAACATCTCTGATCCCATCCGAAACCCATGGATCTTGGGTCAAAAATTCCACGCGGCCAAAAAAGGCTCCAAGGCTCCAAAAATGTCCAAAATCTCGCTGGAATCTGGGCAGGTTTCATCAACTCTTCTTGAAGAATTCCAAGGTGTGGGATGAAATGACAAAAACACGTAGCTGTTATATCTGAGCAGCGGCTGTTACACCCCTCTTGATGATCTTCTTCAGGTTTAAAAGGGGAGGGGATTGTCATGGGAATCCACTGCTGCCTTGACTTCACTGGAGCCTTGAAACACCAAAAAGCCGCATGGTTTCTTAGCCTGACTTTGATTTCCATGAAAGTGAGCCAACAGTGGCCCTGTGGCCATGAAAAACATCCTTAAAAACCACCAAAATATAAAACCACAAATCAGATACGTCTCGTCGGAAAAGACATCCCAAAATTTGGGACACAAGAATTGCTCTTGTTATGTTTTTGGTCTCTATGGATTTCTGGCCAGGTTGCCTCACTTTCAGTTTTTTTGAACGGTCACTTTCGATCGAGATTGTGATGCGCCCCGAAATCGGCGAGCGAAATCGGCGAGGCATACCTAGGCCTTCAATGAGAAGCGCGTCTCGCCTGGTGGAGATGGATTTCAAAGTGGAGCTGGTGCTAAAAACATGAAAAAAAGACCTGAACCCCTTTGGTTTAGCAGCTATGGCTATGGCCCATGAAATAGATGATTTTAAAAATGATGATATGATTTACCTCTTTAAAATGGTGATTGTCCAGTTCGCTATGTTAAATTGCCAGACGGTATTGAAACAATAGAACAGCAAACAGGTTGCAAACACAATCCTGTAGTTTCAACTTTGAGAGTTTGGCAACGCTTTGTTTTTTCGGCTCCAAAATTTTGAGCATTCTTCCAACAATTGCCATGCGAAATGAACGTGAAATGCTACAGAAATTTCTGTCGCTTATCATGCCAAGATGCCGCCGGATCATGACAATGACAAGAAGGATCGTGACTAATAACAGTGACTATGATTGTTGAATATGTATATGTATATATATATGTATATATATATACATATTACAATCCCAATATCCACTTAAGTAGCCAAAAAAATCACTCATTGGTTTTTGAGCCAGGCTTAAAATTCAGGGTTGACA